GGGGCAGAACCGGGGCGGCCGAGCGGTCGCTGGGGCTGGCATGTGCCGGGAGCGGCTGGCGGGAGCGGCCGTGACGTGGCCCCCCCAGGCGCGAGGCCGGAGGCGAGCGGAGCGTCTCCCCGGGGACGCGAGTGCCCGCAGCGGGCACGTGGCCGTGCAGAGAGGCTCTACTGCCGTGCTGCTGCCTGCTGAGCTGCCGGAGGGCTGTGAGTAGCCCCTGGGTGGCCGTCAGTAGCCCACGGATGGCTGTCAGTAGCCCACAGAGGGCTGCTGTCCTTGCCCTGCGCCAAGGCTGCCGGCCCTGCCCCAGAAAGGAGCCGCTTTGCCGAAGCCGGGGTGGTGCCACCCCACAAACAGCCGCGCGCAGGCGAGACCGCGGGAGCTGCCCACCCTGCTCTGAGCTGCCATTGTTGCTCAGGAAACAGCTAATTAGTCGCTCCTGCTAATTAGCCCGAGTCCTCCCTCATGATACCAACTGCTCCTTTTTGCAGAAGGATGCGCAGCCGATAATTAAAAACAAGAAAGTCCTTTGGCTGGTATGCGAAGAAGCTGGGGCGGCTGCCAGGACGGCAGGCCCCGGCATGCGTCACCACCAGCCGCGCAGCTCTTCCAGCCGGGCCGGCAGCGCTGGGTCTCGGGCACCCCCGGACAGAGGGACACCCCCGGACGGGGACCAGCGAGGACCCACCCCACCCGCAGCGGGGACGCCTCCGCCGCAGGGCACCCGTTGCCCTTCCCGGAGAAGCCCGGCGCGGTGTTGCCGGCGACGGCAGGCCCCGGCATGCGTCACCACCAGCCGCGCAGCTCTTCCAGCCGGGCCGGCAGCGCTGGGTCTCGGGCACCCCCGGACAGAGGGACACCCCCGGACGGGGACCAGCGAGGACCCACCCCACCCGCAGCGGGGACGCCTCCGCCGCAGGGCACCCGTTGCCCTTCCCGGAGAAGCCCGGCGCGGTGTTGCCGGCGAAGGTGGGGGCAGAGGAGCGGCAGGTTCAGGCGCCGTGCGCGCCGGGCGGGGGGCAGGCACGTGGCCTGAGCCGCCCTGGCAGGTCCGGGGGAGACCACAGGCTCTCGGCACTCCGCATTTTAAAGGCTGCGCCGCCTGCTCCACCCAGGCAGCCTCTCTCCTCCTTCCCCTGGAAAGCGGCCAGCGGGGCCGGGATGAGTCTTCTCCGGCTCCCAACCTGACGGCGCCAACCACATCTGAAGGGGCAGCCGGGAACGCGCTCTGCCCGCAGTGCTACCCAGCGCCGCGGGCCTGCGGGGCGAGGCCCCATCCTGTCCTCCCCACCTTGCATCCCTGCCTCTGGAGCCAAGCTCCGAGAAGCTCAGAAAGGGAGAGGCCGGGCTGGGACGGCCCCTGCGGGGTGGCGGGAGCGCTGAGGGGGGACCTGGGCCTGCGTGGAGACCCCTCCTCTGCGCGGAGCTCCCCGAACCCCAGCCTCACGCTGGGGAGACGAACGATTTCCCTCCCGGCAGCGCCCCGGGGTCCTCGGCTGCCCCCGGGCAGGGCAGCACCGGCCGGGGGAGCCCCGGCTGGCGGCCCCCTGTCCCCCCGTGCC